AATTTAATAGGCCTGTAAGTAAATACCATTATCTTCTTTTTCTCTGTAAGAAAGATAACACGTAGAGGATAGGAAACTTGACTGCAACCCATAGTAAGCAGCAGAGTTTGAGATTCAAAGCCAGGTCTGTGTTTTCTGCTTCAGTTCAGATGCTCTCAGGAGAACTTCTGGAGGGAACTGTGTTGGGAGCCCCAAGTAGTATCCTTGCAGTTCTCAGCTAGGAGAAATTACTTAGGAGACACTTCTGTGTTTTCCCAGAATGAATCACTGTATTTTAAGAGACTGCCAAAAGGAAACGCTCTGTTGACTGGATCAAAGGGTCTGGAAAATAAGCCAGCTTTTGGAAACCACATATCCGATAAACGTTAATATCTAAAATTTATAAAGAACTCATACAACTCAATAGTAGAAAAACAAATAGCCCAATTTAAAAATGGGCATAGGTCCTAAATCAACATTTCTCCAAAGAAGACATAAAAATGGCCAACAGGTCTATGAAAAGGTGCCGAGTATCATTAATCATTGGGGAAATGCAAATCAAAATCACTGTGAGATGCCACCTCACACCTGTTAGGATGACTATTATCAAAATGTGAAAAGATAACAAATATTTGCAGAAGTGTGGAGGAAAGGGAACTCTAGTAGACTGTTGGGAATGTACTTTGCTACAGCCATTATGGAAATCAGTATGGAGATTTCTAAAGAAATTCAAAATAGGGCACATTGGCTCACACCTATCATCCCAGCACTATGGGAAGTCAAAGAGGGCAGATTGCTTGAGCTCAGGAGTTTAAGATCAGCCTGAGCAACATGGTGAAACTCCATCTCTACAGAAAAAATACGAAAATTAGGCAGGCGTGGTGGCACGTGCCTGCAGTCCCAGTTATTTGAGGGACTAAGGCAGGATGATCGCTCGAACCGGGGAGGCGGGGGTTGTAGTGAGCCAAGATTGTGCTGCTGCACTCCAGCCTGGGTGACAAAGCAAGACATTTTCTCAAAAAAAAAAAAAAAAAAAAGACAGAAATTAAAAATAGAACTACCATGTGACTCAGGAATTCCTCTTCTGGGAATATACCCAAAGGAAATAAAATCACCACTTTGTAAAGATATCTGCTGATTATTGCAGCATTATTCACAATAGCCAACATATAGAAACAACTTGAGTGTCCGTTGCTGGACAAATGGATAAAGAAAGTGTACAGTGGAATATTATTCAGCCTTAGAAGTGATCCTGCCAGTTGTCATCACATGGATGAACCTGGAGGGCTCTATACTAGGTGACATAAGCCCGACACAGAAAGCCGGATATTGTATGATCTCACTTATATGTGGAATCTAAAAAGCAAACAAAAGCCCAATCAAATATACAGAGAGAATAAAACAGTGATTACCAGGGCTGTGAGGACATGACAAGAAATGGGGAGATACAGGTCAGAGGATACAAAGCAGTAGAGGTGTAGGATGAACAAGCCCGGAGACCTCATGTACAACATGAGCACTACGGGTAATAAAGTTGTGTTGTATTTGGGATTCATGTGAAATGAGTAGATTTTAGCTACTTTTACCACAAAAACAAGAAAATGGGTAATTGTGCAATAGTTAGTTGGGATATGTTACATTGCTTCGCTATAGTAATCATTTTGTTATCAATATGTATCCCATAACATTATGTTGTACACCTTAAATATACACGGTACGGTGTATTTATGTCACAAACATTTATTGTTTGTGACAGTCTCACTGTGTTGCCCAGGCTGGAGTGCAGAGGCACGATCATGGCTCACTGCAGCCCCAACTTCCCAGACTCAAGCAATCCTCCTACCTCAGCCTCCCGAGTAGCTGGGACTATAGGTACACACCACCCTGCCCAGTCAATTTGTATATTTTTTGTAGAGATGGGGTTTCACCATGTTGCCCAGGGTGGTCCTAGACTTCTGGGCTCAAGTGATTCTCCTGCCTCTGCCTCCCAAAGTGCTGGGATTATAGGCATGAGCCACCATACCTGGCCTAACATTTATTTTAAAAAAAAGAAAAGAAAAAAGAAAGAAGCTATTCAGGCTACAAAAGAATTTTTGGTATTACCCGATGTTCTTCATTCTGTAAGCGGGACACTAAAAATTCCTCATGATAAAGTGCTAAGGGAAAGTCCCCTTTTTTCTTTCTCGTTTTTCCAGGGATTCTGACCTGCATGATGCAGGAATTGAACATGGTATTTAGATAGGAAGTTGGAGCTCAGTAAATGAGGAGATTGTGTATCAAACCCCCAACCAAGCTACTGAGACTTCCTGATCACTCTTAAGGGGCCCTATTGCAAGAGCCTAGGCCCTAAGCTAAGGTAGTGGTGTAAGAGCAGGTGCATTCAAATGATATTTAATGTCTAAATCCACAGGATCATGGTGATAAGATGCACGGTGAAGGGACATGGAGAAGTTGAGGAGGCCTGGGAGCCTGAGTAAATGGTGGCTTCATTCAGTAAGGCAGGGGACAGGGGAGGAGGAGCAGGTGTGGGGTTCACTATGGTGGCAATTTGGGCTGTGTTTTCAAGTATTTAAGGCATCTTTTGGACAATCAGGGAAGGTAGTTTATCAAGAAATGTGCATTGAGGTTAGACTGCCCCATGAAAGAGGAGTTGTTTCAGGACATCTGGGAGACAGCTGGTTCATAGGGATGTGTCTGATGATGTCCAGTTCATGGATCGCTGGTACTGAAAAGAGCCGACTGCTGCCGAGGTCTTTCTTGGCTGTGTGCAACTTTGTTGGGAATCTCTGCTGCTGTTTTTATAGCTCAGTGTCCTGGATGAGGAGGGGAGCAATGGGCAGCCTCTTGCTAGTGGAGGTGGAGAGGAGCTACCACATTGCCCTGTAGGATGCAGGCCCCTCTGTCTGCCCAGCTCTCCTATGGGCCATTACATGGAGTTTGCTTCTACTAATTATGATTTGGCAATCTTAAATGCCTCTTAAAAAAAAATATGTCTGGATCTGCTTTGAGATGTCATTCATTTTTTATTTTTATTTTTTGAGAGAGACAACCACAAATTCATGCTTTATCTTCTTGGGAGAAATACCTCTAGTAAAACTATAGCATGGCTTTTTCCATATGAGTGTTGATGCAGATGGTTGTAATGAGACCTCTCTAATTAAGCACTTGCTATCTGACTCTGAATCATTTTAGATGTGCTGGTGCTCTCGCTCGCTCTCTCTTTTTGATTCAAAGAGTTGTCCTGAGATGTAACACATTTAGCTGTTATTATAGTGTATAAACTTCCCATTTTTTTTCATTTGTAGCTTTTTCTTTTTTTCTGTGCTAATCTGAGAGCATAATTAAGATGTCTGACTTCAGTTCTTTCCTTACAAATATTGCCTAACTCTTCTGTCTTTAATTAACTGAAATCATTCCTATGTAAACAAATAACAATTGCAGATTGCACTACCTACATTCTTTTGTTGTGAGCATGTAAGTACACCCTTGTTTGTTAAATGACAGTCTTTTACAGAAATTCGATGTGACATACTTTGTCATTTTGTATGATGCCATGGAAAACAAAGGATGACTTCTGTATTTTTATTCTGGGTATCCCTTTTATTTAATACTCATTTTAAGAGCCAGCATGACAGATGAAGGGAGGACTGGCTTTGGAGTCACACTGCCTTGAAAATCTCAGCCTTGCCACTTCCTAGTAGTGTGACTTTGGATAAATTGCTTAGATACCTCTCTGTGCCTAGGCTTCTTGGTGCGTGAAAGGAGAATGACGGTAATATTCACCTCACAGGATTATGGGCGTTAAGTGACATAATGCAGCTTACATCTTTAGCACAATGCCTGGCACATAGTAGGTACTCATTAAATGCAAACAATATATATTCTTATATAGTAGAAGAAGCTTTCTTAACCAATTCACCAGATTAAAGGAAGCTTCCAGACCCTATGCCGAGCAGTCCAATGGATGGCCATAACGTGGTGAACTGTAACAAGCTTCTCTTTAGTACGCTCACACACTTCTACTCCAACTAGCTGAAATTATTTGCTGCCAACCGCGTTTATGTTATTTGCTGTTTGTGTTCATTCCCAAACCTATTTGTGCCAGTCGAACTTGTTATTGTAATTATGTAATTTAATTAAATATCAGGCAAACAGATAGAATATGGAAGTACAAAAAGAAAGCAGCTTTTTCCTGAAAATGAGCTTTGAGGGCTATGAAAAGACTTAATAAACTATTACTCACTAAGGTACCTATAGTAGTCAAATTTGTAGAGACAGAAAGGAGAATGGTGGTGGCCAGGGTTTGGAGAGAAGGCAGGAATAGCAAATTAGGGTTTAATGGGTACAGAGTTTCCATTTTCCAAGATGAGGAGAGTTCTGGAATGGAGACAGAGGACAGGAGATGAGGAGATAGTCCACTCACCACCATGGTTGCACAACAAGGTGAATGGACTTAACAATGGCTAAGGTGAGGCTGGGCACGGTGGCTCACATCTGTAATCCCAGCACTTGGGGAGGCCAAGGTGGGTGGATTATCTGAGGTCAAGAGTTGAGACCAGCCTGACTAACACGGAGAAACCCCGTCTCGACTAAAGATAGAAAAAAAAAAAATTAGCTGGACGTGGTAGTGCATGCTTGTAATCCCAGATACTCAGGAGGTTGAGGCAGGAGAATCCCTTGAACCCGGGAGGCGGAGGTTGCAGTGAGCCGAGATCACACCATTGCACTCCAGTCTGGGCAACAAGAGTGAAACTCCATCTCCAAAAAAAGAAAAAAAAATGCTAAGGTGGTAAATTTTATGTTATGTGTATTTTAATACAGTTAAAACTTTTAAAAATATGTCACATTAGCTGCAGATAAAATAGCTGTGAAAGATTGAGGTGTGGAATGAATAAAAAATCTAGAGAGAGTCCACATTTAGAGTCTTTCCCAGTAGTTAAGTTTTCATGCTTTCAGGAAACCAAGATAGGAAACTTATTTTAAGTTTACAATTAAACGCTAAAGTTATGTATGTGTCTTAGGCCAGGCTCCTGGGAAACAGACTCACAGATGGAGATTGAGGCCACTGGAACTTGTCCTCCTGTGTTGATCAGACCTTGGATGTGGGCTGCTCCCCAGGGGAGGGGCATAACCTCGAACAAGGCAACTTTCTTGGCTGAGGGTGAGTCTCAGGAGGTTCTCAGCTGAGAACAGTCAGCAGACAACACTTCCGGCAGCTGGGGGAGCTCAGTGGTACCCGACAGCATCCACAACAGTGTGTCTCCATTTTGTGCGTGGTTTTCCCTTTATAACACACTTTTAAAGATGAACTGATTGACTTTTGGTCCAGATTGCTTCAAATAAGAGTATCCTCACTGCTTATACGTAATCTCCTGAAGGTCTCATTGTGTTTGATCTTCTCTGCATGTAACAGTTGTCCCATTTATGGTATAACAAGAGTGTGTTCTCATGAATCCTGTAAACTTGATCACAACTAATAAACATGTGTGATGTGTTGGAAGCACAACTGATGTTAGCACCTCTGTCCACTCCTAAATACTTTCCAGTATTTATTTTGAGATTCATGGAACCAACTTCAGATTTTCTTTTTAAATTTCCAAAGACTCTTTTGGCATTTGATAGTATCCTTTGGCAGACTCTCCATTTTTGTACTAGAGGTCATCCTCCTTCCATGCCCTATGACCTGTAGGTCTTTCTCTGCGTGTTCTTCAGTGACTCTTCCATCTGCTGCAAATAACTGCCATCCTTCTTCCTGTTTAGCCTTTTGCCTTAGACTCATGTCTCTTTATGATGACCCCAAGGCTCCTGACTTGAATGATGGCCAATCTCCAGAATGTCTGAATTTCATTTTGGGATATAGTCTTCCAAATAAATCCAGATTTGTTTTTTGTTTCTCTCAGCTTGCTTTGCCCCAAATTGCCAATGCTAAAGGGGAAGTCTGAATCCCTTTGCCAGTGTGACCATAAATGTAGCACAGAGATCCTATGATTATCCTATAGTGTCTGTTTTCCTTGAGCATCTTAGCATGTGCTGACGTTTTAGTAAGAATACTATTCAGTCTCATTTATGCTTAGCCCTTCATTTAGCCAAGTTTTGTTGTTTCCTTGGTTTCAAATGTTATCTCTTTATGTGAACTGGGAGCTGAAGCCTTTCATTTGACTTGTGATCTTATACATTCTGGAAGCTCATACATGTAATCGTGGAACAAATAAAGCAGCTGGAGGAAATCTTTTCTGAACAAAACCCAAGTGGGGCATTTGGGTGCAAGCCAAGATTTCAGCAGCCACAGAGAGAGATGTACAAAGGCTGCCTATATTACAAAGCCAACAAATCACTCCTGGCCAAATAGAAATGTCCTATAGGTAATGGCTGGATAGAGGGTAAGGGACCTTTACACATTTAATTACCTGACCACAAAATAAAGTGTTTACTGTAACCTTCCAAGGGCTCTCCACTAAGTTAATTCCTATACTATAACTAAAGGTAGAGGAACACTGTAACTCAGTAGATGAGCAACAAATTGGAATTAGAGTCTGCTCAGTCTAGGCCTCCCACTAAATTGTTGTGTGGTCCTAGGCAAGATACTGAGTGTTTAACTTCGTAGGGTTCAGTTTCTCCATCCAAAATTAGAAGTTGGAATATAAATTTAACTTTATATTTATATAAAAGAATCCTAAGAATCCACTAAGCAACTAATAACAAATGAACTCCTGTAGAATGAAATCCCATATTCACTTCCTCTTTTCCCCTTTTTAGAGGAGAAAGTTTCATGTCTTGCAGTGATCAAATAATTAAGTAAAATTTCACTGGACTTTTTTGACAGGATTGGTTGTTTATTCATTAATTCAATACACACACATACATACATTCTCTGGACTTACACATACCAAAGCAAGGACTTAGAATGGAGGTAGGTTTAAAACAAATGTGAAGGAGTTTCCTAAGTTTTTAATCATTTATTAGTTCGTGCAGGCAATGTTAACAATTACGCAGAGCAGCGCCTCTCAAACTTTATGTGCATAAGAATCAACTGGAAGGCCTTTAAAATGTCCTTCCTGGGCTTCCTCCTCAGAGTTTCTGATTCGGTAGACATTGTGGTGGGGCCTCAAATTAACATCTAACAAGTTCCCGTGTGATACTGCTGGTGTGCAGACCATACTTTGGGTCACACAGTCTAGAAACATTTAGGATGCCAAGGTGAGGAAGTCACATGGTGTCTATAAGGCAGGTAGGATTAATAGTAATACTCCACAGTGTGCTAATATTAATTATACTGTATCACAGTGTGTGTATGCACAGGACTATGTGTTTTGAAATCATTTCAGAGAATATAGAACGTGCAGAAGCTTAAGAGAACTGAAACCACATGACACATTCAGGAACATGAAGCTTGCATTACTGCAGCAAAGGGCATGTGGCTGGGCGGGAGGCAGGGGGTAGTGTCAGAGGGGTGGGGAGGAGAAGAACATGTGGCAGAGGAGATGCCAAGATCTAGGTAGCACTCTGATGGTAATGAGGGGGCTTGTGTGCCCTTAGAGACTTGATTGCTTTCCTAACCTGATAACAAAAGGAATGGGACAGAGAAAATAAAAGATTCACTAGAGTTCTCAAGGTGGTAGAGTTAACGATAGCATAGAATTTAGCTAAATATAATCTAGTTAACCCAATAATCCTGCTGAAATTACACTTCAGTTGAAAGTTAATCTCTTGGGTATCTGGTTTCTTCATTTCTGGTAATTTTGGTGCACCATATGATGACTTATGTGTTCTTAAGTATTACTTGTCTTCCATTATTTTCTAGGTTTTCCATCCAAGGAATAGTCAGCCAGTAATCCTTGTCCAAAATTGATTATAATAATGAACAAGTTGAATACCAAAATCTTAACAATAAAGGTATCTTACAAAAAAAAAAAAAAACAGATTTTCTTATTACAAAAGCAATGCATACTTATTACAGAAGCTACATATGGGCAAAGAAACCTCACACAATCCCACTCACATTTATAAAACCACTGCAAAACCCCCAGACACTAACTTCTTAGAGCCTTTTCCATGTATATGTGCCTACTTCCCTACCAAAATAGTTTACACCATGTACATTTTGAAAACCAGCGCAGTTCATTTACACAATCGGCCAAGCTTTGGACATTTGTTACTCTTCCAATCTAATTCCCATTGTTTCACATTTAGTCTGTTCCAAGTAATTTCCCATGGCTGATGCCTAAACTGAATATTAATGGCCAGGAGTCAGCCAGGCAAAGACGGTGGTGTGGTGGGATAGACATTCTAGGCCTAAGTACTGCCTGCACACAGGCCTAGAAGTGAAGCAACCATAGCATTTGTGAGAACAGAAGGATATGCAGTAAGGCTGGACCATGGAGGGTGATGGGTAATAGGAGCGGAGCATCACAAGATTAAAACCTTACAACTAATAGCCTACAGTTGGATATCCAGGGGACTAATTGACCAAAATTTATTTAGGGAAAAATTAGAGAAAAAAAGGACAAAAAGAGAAAAAATCTACAGCCTGTCAATGAACATTATTCCTTTTCAACCAAAATGTTTTATTTTTATTTATTTATTTTTTCTTGAGACAGAGTCTCACTCTGTCACCCAGGCTGGAGTGCAATGGTGCCATCTTAACTCATTGCAACCCTCACCTCCCAGGTTCACGCGATCCTCCTGCCTCAACCTCCCGAGTAGCTGGGACTACAGGCACTTGCTGCCATGCCCAGGTAATTTTAGTATTTTTAGTAGAAATGGGGTTTCACCATGTTGGCCAGGCTAGTCTCAAACTCCTGATGTCAAGTGATCCACCCACCTTGGCCTCCCAAAGTGCTGGGATTAACAGGCATGGGCCAGTGTGCCCGGCTTCACCAGATTGTTTTAACACAGCGTTGTTTTCACCAACTTGATTTGGACTAAGTTGGTTTTGGCAAATGGCTTTCAACCAAATGATCTATATCCACATTAAGAGGATTTGGGGGCTTCCTGGATCCAGCGCTGTGCTGGAGCTCACCTATGCAGACTCTTAAGACATTTCTGCCCATCTTTTCAGTAATGCCACCTTCACAGCTTGAGATCAGCAAATGCTACAAATTAGGGACTTTTTTTCATTAGAGCTAGTTCTCCAGCACACCACTAGATGTAGCTGAGTGAGAGGGAAGAAGTCCAAAATAAATGTCCTGGGTTTTGGCTTGGGAATTGAACACTGACATCATATTTTGATATCAAGCATCATAAACTTGAATTGTAACTGCATTTTTCTGCCATTTCAAGCAGAGTAATTAACTTCTCTAAGCCTCAGTTTTCTCATATGTAAAATGGGGTCACTAATATTTACCTTATGGGATAGTGATGGAAATTAATCCTTGAGCGAAATATTATGATTATTACCACAATAAAAGGAGAAGCATGAGAGCATTAAGTTGATCTTTTAATATGTGAAGTTTGAGTTAATTTGGGGAACTTAGGTAGAGAACCTTGTAATCATAACAATAACATTATTGTTAACTATGTGCTTTACATGCATTATTTTGTTTAATCCTCCAAAGAAGTGTATAGATAGGTATTAGTGATATGATTGCTCTCATTCTGAAGCCGAAGAGACTGAGTTTTAAGTATCTTTCTCAAGGCCAGATAGCTGTTAAAAGTAGAGACAATCTGAAAGGCAAGTCTGTCTGAATTCAGCCTGCTTTTTTTTTTTTTTTTTTTTTTTTTTTTTTTTTTTTTTTTTTTTTTTTGAGAGAGAGTTTCGCTCTTGTTGCCCAGGCTCGAGTGCAATGGCACAATCTCAGCTCACTGCAACCTCTACCTCCCGGGTTCAAACGATTCTCCTGCCTCAGACTCCTGAGTAACAGGGATTACAGGCATGCGCCACCACACCCAGCTAATTTTGTAATTTTAGTAGAGATGGGGTTTTTCCATGTTGATCAGGTTGGTCTTGAACTCCTGACCTCAGGTCATCTGCCCACCTCAGCCTCCCAAAGTGCTGAGATTACAGGCGGGAACCACCGTCCCCAGCCTAGAGTCTGCATATGGGCCTTCACTCAGTAGACACATCTGACTATATGGTGTTAGCCTGCGAATGTTCTGAGTGGTTCAAGTCTTAGATTTGAATTAGATCGCACTGGAGGAGTCTGTAGCATAAGAAAAGCAGAAGGCAAGGATGCAACTCTGGGCAACACTGAATTTGAAGGTGAGATAGAAGTTTAGAGAAAGAAGGGATGATCAGCAGTTTTGGATGCCACCAGAAGATCAAAAAGGGTAAGAATTAAATGAGATTATTTCGAGCTGGCAATATGAAAAGTATTGATAGTTTTAACAAAAGCAGTTGAGTAAGATAGGCCAGATTGCTTTGGGTTGAGAAGTAGAATGGTAATGAGGAAGTAGAGAGAACTGGCATAAATTCCTTTTGAAGGCTAAGATGCTAAATAAGCCACTTGGAATCTAGGGAGATATTTAAGAGCATAGATGTGTTGGGCAGAAATAGTAGAAGTGAAGGAATGTGATTGCAGAAACCAAGAGTCTTCCTTAAGAGATAGGAGAGATGGGATCCAAAGCCTGATAGAAGAATTATGACTGGATTGACGTCAGGATTGAGCTTTTTAGGTTGGGTGTGATAGAAGAACAAGGAGTCAGAGAAGTAAAGATAATCATCAGTATGACCAAAGGCATGGCATTGTAGGCTGCAGGCTGGGAAGAGAATAAGTGAGACCAGGAGGCCATTCATAGACTTCGAGAATGTAGAGTGGCCAAGGTCCTGGGAGTCTCAAAACTGCTGAAGGGAAGTTGGGAATAAATGAATAATTGAGTTGTGAGTATAGGGAGTTGTGCACAGTATTCTTGATATTGATCAATTCATGTTCAGAGAAGCCTGGGTAGCTGATAATGTCCCTGGCTGTGCCATTAGAGATCTATTTTTTAAGCAGAGTGAAGGTGAATTCATCAGAATTGAGGAGATGAAGAAGGGACTAAGCATGGAATCATGGTTGAAATATTGCACTGGTATCCTTTTGAGTAGTTCCTAACTAATAAGATGACATCTTTTTAATAATACTTTGCTAATAATCCAAATGTTACGTTTTAAGAGGTTCTTTCTCATTATGATGGAAACATTCCTCATGGTTAGTGTCATTCTTTCATTGGTGCCCAAGAAATCTGATAAATCAACTTTTTCTCAGTATGCTCATCCTGAGATTGGTAGGGGAGGTGTCCTGGGTTCATTTCTTCTCCTTCCAGAGGATGTACAGCTTACACTTGCAGAAGTATAATGCTAATAATACTAATAGCTATCATTTGTTAAGCACTTACTACATGCTAGCCACTGTGCTAAGCACTTTGTGTGGATTATCTCTTTATACACTTATAACTCTGCAAGATAGGTGCACTTTCTGCGTCTATTTTATGGATGAGGACTCTGAAGATTACAGAGTTTAAATCCCTTGCCCAAGGTCACTCAGCTTGTAAATGATGGAGCCAATATTCAAATGCGGGCAATTTGCATCTAGATCTTGAGATACTAACTCTGTAAAACTGCCTGTCAATGCTGGGGAGACCCAAGTCGGCCTCATTTTGGAGGTTAGTGTATTCCTGTTTGTGAAGGAAGAGGAAAGCAGGCACCCTGGGGACCCATGTCCGGAGACTCACCACTGGACCTGGGACTCCGGGCAGTGTGAGATGTCTTCCCAAAGCCCCCCGGAAGTTAATCCTCTGGGCTTTCCTTGCAAGAGAGCTGAAGAATGGCATAAGAGCCATTTCATTGCACTAATAACTCTTGGAAATTCCAGAGGGTTGTTTCACATAGACACGCCACTGTGACGGCGCTTGGCAGTTCAAAGTGCAAGGAGGTTGTTGTGCTGATGTCGAAATCTTAGTTCGAAACCTTATTTCAAGAATGCTCAGGCCGGGCGCGGTGGCTCAAGCTGTAATCCCAGCACTTCGGGAGGCCGGGGCGGGTGGATCACGAGGTCAAGAGATCGAGACCATCCTGGTCAACATGGTGAAACTCCGTCTCTACTAAAAATACAAAAAATTAGCTGGGCATGGTGGCACGTGCCTGTAATCCCAGCTACTCAGGAGGCTGAGGCAGGAGAATTGCCTGAACCCAGGAGGCGGAGATTGCGGTGAGCCGAGATCGCGCCATTGCACTCCAGCCTGGGTAACATGAGTGAAACTCCGTCTCAAAAAAAAAAAAGAATGCTCAGAAAAAATACGAGAAATCTTCAAGGAAAAGAAAGCATTTCTTTTCTAATGATAAAATGAGTAACTCCATAGGAAAGCTCTTCTTGAAAATCATACTAATTTTTTTCTAAATTAATTTGCTATTTGCTGAAAACTTTCAGAAAATGGTACCTTGTCCTGAGATATACCTAACTCTAACTTTCATATTTAAATGATCCATTTACTTGGATGAACTTATGCATATTCAGAAAGTACTGATGGAAGAGAAATAGATGAGCACACATTTTAAAAACTGCAATACATTAGGTATTTCTTTAGCTTATGTGCCCCAACCAAATGAAGACTTTTTAAACTTTGTTTGTAAAAGAATATTTTACTTCATCATGTAAAATGTAAAACAACAAAGCAGGTTTGTTTTATTTTTAATGTTAGGTATATTCCTAAACAGTATCAATTTATACCAAATCCCCTCTCCTCACTGCCTCCTCTAACACACACACGGTGTTAGATACAGAGCTGAGATCAGAGCTGGAAATCCCCCTGGCAGTCTACCTCCTAGTGTTCCAGAAACAACACCAGGCAGTGGTTACCTTACTCCTGATCATGGGGCCTGAGGCCAGAGGGCTGGTACCCAAAGCCAAGTCCCAGAAGGAATTACAAAAATGAGGCCAGGAATTTGAGTTCCAGCCAGGACTTTGTTAAGGAGGGTGTTGATACCCAGGGGTTAAGCCAAAACCAGGTATTGAGTGTGGGGGTGTGGCTGGGAGGAAGCCACTGGGAAGGCTGAGAGTGAAGAAGGTTGGGGGAAGTGTTAGCCACATTGAAGGTGCTTAGCATGGATTTCTGACAGCATTGTCACAGGCCTCTAAGCTGGGTGGTGATGGCCTTATATTCATTCATCAGCCCAGCAGTTCTCTGCATGTGATCCAGGGCCCTGAGAGGTCTGTGAGGTCAAAACTATTTTCACAATATTAAGGCACCGTTGACATTTGCATTTATGGTACAAAAGCAATGGTCAGTAAAATTGTATGAATCACTTCATTGGATCTTAGCGTGAAAGAAGACAGTAGCGAAAACCGTAGTTGTAATCATTGTATTCACCACCACCTTGCCCTCACAGTTTAAAACAATTGTCAGTTTCACTTAAGAATATTTTGGATGACATATTAAAAATTATTAAAGATATTGTCTCAACCCTCAAATGCACATCTTTTTAATATTCTGGGAAGTATCCATACAGTATTTCTGTTATATGCCGAAGCATGAAGATTGTCTCCAGGAAAAGGATTTCATGATTGTTTAAGCTGAAATCAGAACTGGCCACTGTTTTACTGGAACCCCATTTTTATTTGAAAGAGTGTCTGACAGACAAACTACTGTTATTCAGCCTTTAGTATTTGGTCGACATTTTCTCAAAACTGAACGGAGTGAGCCTGTCA